CACTATTCATCAAATATTTTCCTAAGCATGACCTATTTATTCAGGCTTTTCACCCATTAATATACATTTTTCTGGGAAACACTCAGCCCACCTTTAACATGTTAACAAGCACAATGTGTTTCATACATTTGACACAGAATCAGAATCATGTCATCCTGAAAGGGAAAAAGTTAAGTGTGGGGTGGACCGGGCAAGCCTTCTTGCTCTGCCTTCCCATGTTTTACCCTGCGCAGGTGTGGCACTTTTTCTTTCTGCCACAAAAAATATCCCAGGCCAGGATAATTAGCCAAATTAATCCACAGCCATTATTTTCTCGGGCATAATCTACCTTGTGTGCCCGCTTAGAAAATTTGGAAACAGCTGTTCATGGCAGTTTGTCTGCCTTGGTGCACCATCACTCACACACTTTCACACACTCCCACACCCACCTCTGATTACCTCGTTGACTGGGAGGGATACAACCCAGAGAAGTGCTCCTAGATGGCTCGGACAACATCCAGGATCCGGCCCTGCTATCCTTCTTCAAAGATAACCACCCAACTAGACCAGCACTGTGTGGCTGGGGCTGGCCCTGACTTTAGACACATTGGTCCACTGGAGCAGCCAGTGGAGAGATATACGGTCACACCCACACCATACTCTCTTTCCCTCAACACACACCACTCACAGTCTTCAGAATTCTAATCATCACCACCTATTTCCAATCACCTGACATTAAGACACTATTTCAACCCGACTCCCTCACTCAGTCAGCGTGAGATCTCGTCTATACCTAAACATACAGAATCTACTGTATCATTAGATATTGTGTTTGTATAATCTTATCTGCCAATAAACACTGTTGAGTTCACTCTGTCCATCTCTCTGTGTCAGGTGGTTTTGAAATACCAATACATATATGGGAATGGATGCGAGGATGCAATACTCGCCTGGAAAGGACTCCCAGGCAACATTTGTTTTGTCTTCATGTTAGGAAAGAAAATACACAAAAAAACGTTGCCTGGTATACTATTATGGGCATATTCATTATGCAATTACAAATCAGCATTGAAAATACTATTTCTGTTTGCAGGCCACTGGAACAATCTGTTACTCTTCACAAGGACATGAACGGGCAGCTCGGCTTTCTTTTTAAAAAGGGTCGAATCACTTCAATAGTAAAAGACAGCTCCGCTGCACGTAACAGCCTCCTTACTGATCATCAGATCTGTGAGATCAATGGTCAGAATATAATTGGACTGAAGGTAAATGACATCAGTATTTTGGATTTGTTGGTTTTCCTTCTTTCTTTTTGCTCTGTGTCTCTCTCTTAATTAGCAATATGGCCCTGTAAAGCACAAGCAGGTGACTCATAAAAGATTTTATTTCAATTTAAGCTACTGTATTTTCATCTCTTTTTTAGGACTCCCAAATCACAGACATCCTTAATTCCAGTTGAGGTGTTGTCACGGTAACTGTGATGCCAGAGGTTATTTTTGAACACATGATGAAAAGGTATGGAAAATAAACTATGGGTGGACAAAACCCAATGCCAATCAAAAGTCTATTCATGTAACTTTACCAAAAGTATCTTATTTTTCCTTCTGTTATTGCCTCTCACAAAAGTGTTCTTAACATTCTCTTTCTTACTGCAGGATGTCCAGCAGTATTGTAAAGTCACTAATGGATCATTCTATTCCTGAGGTGTGAGATCGTTCGGATCAAACTGTACAGCTGAGGATGATTTGGCCACAGCTTGGAGGGCTGGCATTTTGTCTGGAGCACAAGTTCAGTTGTGTGTCCACAATCATATGATTTTATGTGTTTAAGTATGTTTAAGAGGTTATTGTGAGGCAAAGAAAGACAGCAAGGAAAACATGAGAGATATTAAGCTGCTTCAGTTTTTCCTTTAAATTAATAGTGTAACCAAAAATGTTCTGTAATCATTTACTTAACTTTGTTGTTTTAAACCCATATGCCTTTCTGATGTATCACACAAAAGAAAGTTAGGCCATATGCAGAATGTTCACGCTGATCTTTTCCTTAAACTGAAAGTAGGGTTGGATGCTTTTGAACTAAAAAAAAAATACAGAAAACCATGAAAGTAAAGTAATTAATACAACTTATTGTGCTGTATTCTAACTCATATGAAGCCAAATATAGTGTGGAACACATCGAAATTAAAGTCATTATGCACTGATAATAAAATTCACTAATCTTCTCCTCTGCCATAGCTGTCAAATGTCATTCACACTTTTGCATATTAAAACTGGTTCATCACGATCAATCATGACACGCAACAACCAATGTTGTTTGGCATCATTAATGTTAAAGCTGGTGTGACGTGTCTTCACACTTCATAATTTTATATACATAAACACAAATAAAAAGCTGCAGTAGAGAAGATTTTCAGCAAATAACAATTTAAACATCAGTATGTTTATTGTATAACTTCAGAAGACTTACAGCACAGCAAAGTCATATGGACTATTTTTATGACATTCATAGTGCTTTTTTGACTTGAAGTACTCTGTCTTCATTCGTGTCCTCATATTATTCTGTAGTGTGAATATTCTGCTTAACATCTCAGGTTTAGAATAAGGTTTGAAACAATATGAAGATGGGTAAATGTTGACGACATTTTCATTTTTGGGCGATGCCTTTAATTCTTATCCTTCATTAGATAGTTTTTGTTAAGCCTGAAACTTATTTCAATTTCTTGCAACATAACATCTCGCAAAAAGCACTCTGAATTATCATCAACATGCATTACAGCATGCTGATGATGTAAATCAGTTATAATAATGTTGTTAAAATTACATTCTAAAAGCCATTAAAAACAAAACAAAAAACTATGCACTGTTGAAGATAGTTTTGTATAAAAAAAAAAGGTACAGAATTCGGAGATTAATTATATGACAACTTTATGTTTAAGAGTTGTAATTGCAGTACAGTTTTGTGCCCCTGTATTCTTGTTGTTTTTCTTCATATTAGTCCACCTTGCTCCTGGAGAGCAATCTTCTTGAAAATTAGACCAAAAAAAAATATACAAAAATTGGAGAATAAAGCATTATGCTTTCCTTTTTGTTGTGAATTAATCATACTGCTAAACTGCATAAATGTAAACCAATGATAGACCACACACTGTTGTCTTTAGGCTACTGCATTAATAGAAGGCCAGTTAACATCGATGTGTTGCAAGTATTCTTCAAATTATAATTTTAATAGTATTTTCGTTTCATATCCATGCGCACTAATTAGACTTATTAAACGTCTCATTCAAGCGTTTAATGCTGAGCAGGACTCCAGCCTTAAAGCCTCAGAAGGATTGGACTAGGAAGGATGCATCCTCATAGTATTTTCATGATGAGAGCACGATGTACAGTAGGTGGCGGTATGTGCGTACGACACCAACCTGCTATTGTACCCAAAAAAGGAGAAAGAAAAGCTTTCTGCACAAGTCACAATTAGAAATGCACAACTTTTAGATTTTGCGATTAACCAGCCTCTCCAAACTCTCTCCCTCTGTTATCATGAAGCAGAAGAAAACGGTTCGCAACCAGGCCAGAAAAGGTACAGTTAATTAGGATTTATCTTCATACAAGTAATGTTTTCTTTATGCGTGGCCCAATACATAGATTCAGATGCTTTTCATTATGCAGTGTTAAATTTATAGATAGGCGAATGGTGGATGTTTAATGATAGCGGTTGCAGAGATGAAAGCAGTAACGTTATACACTCTTTCTGATACTGTGTACAACTTATCGGAATTGCAGTACTCTTACCAAAACCTATGACAGCAGTATTATAGTAGAGTGATGGCATTAGATTGGTTCTTCATATATGTACCATACTTTAATGTAGTGGTGAAAAGAGTACTAAGAAATTGTACTTAAGCAAAAGTATTGCTACTTAAGGAATAATTTACTTGAGTACAAGTAAAAGTACTGAAAAATAATATGACTCAAGTAAGGGTAAAAAAGTAGTTTGCTGAAAAAATACTGAAGTTACTGCGTTACAAAGTACTTTAGTATTATTTTTCTATTTTTACCCAAAATGAGACAGCTAAGGTTGTTGCACTATTAAATGAGCAAATGGAAAAGATATCCAGATGGCTCCAGGAAAATAATCTTACATTGAATGTTAAGAAAACTGTTTTTGTGTTTTTTCTAATAGAAAGAAAACAGAAAAAAAAATAAAAAATTAGGGTACTTCACGAAGAAATAGAGGAAGTAAATTAAGTTCGTTTTTTAGGAGTAGTCCTAGATTTACAACTTAAATTTGACAAACATATAAAAAAGCTTTCAAAAATAGTTAAGATGAATTAAATTGTTTTAAACTCATTAAGCATTATATTATGACTGAGGCAGCTCATCTGTTCCTGCATACAATGATTTTGTCCCGTGTCTCATATTGTATTACAGTTTGGTCTCAAACTAGTGATTATTTAATTAGAAAAATTGAGAATCTGTATAATCGGGCTTTAAAAATAATGGATAAAAAAACAAATCAATGGCATCATTGTCATATTTTAAAGAAATGGCATATGCTTAATTTTACGAATTTAAAAAATGTATCATATGTGAAGTTGATTTTTAAATGTTTGCGTAATAAGGCTTCTGTTCTATGTAATTTGGTAAAGAGATACGATGACACAGGCCGAACCACTAGGAGTACAGAGGTTGAAAACTGTAGGATTGGGTATTGCAGAACATCACAAGGGCAAAGAGCTTTCTCTGTAAAGGGATCCCAACTTTGGAATATGTTGCCAAATTAATTTAAAGTGATACATGATATAAAGTCTTTTACATTGAAGGTTAAGCGTTGGCTCAAAATAAACCAGACTTGTACGCATATTTAAATTTTTATATGGTTCCGTACCAGTTATTTATTAGGATTGGAAGAGTCTATAAAACTAGGTGCATGTGTTTGTTTTGTATTCTGTTTGTAATGGGTGAGGTTTTTATATGAAGAGTTTGTTACTTTTTTTTCTTTTCTTTTTTTTTTACAGATAACATAATTTTTTTTTACAGATTTATTATAATTATTTTGGTTGTTTATACATGTAATGATGTGTTTTTTAAAAGCCTTTCTAGGGACATGAGATGCAAATCAGCACCTGCTATGATCTCTGTTCAGTGCATTTTTTCCAGTCTTTGACTGGAATCATGTTTATTGTACTGTCCCTATCTAAATAAACGAAACGAAAAGAAAATGTTTAAAACAGTGTGAATTGAAATGTGCCAGTAAAAAATAATGTGGGGTATGGGTAAGGTTGGGCATCGTTTGAATTTTTATGATTCTGATTCTTGTCAATTCCTAATTTTGATTCCAATAAGGTAAAAATAATAATAATAATAAAAAAAATTAAAAATCTTAGATATCATTCACATTTATTCTAACTCTTATTGCAAAATATTTCCTTGTTAGCTGAATACTATGAATGAAAATCAACAGGCTAAAGAACACTTTACACAAGGATGTGTGTCCAGCAGAGAAGACAGCCCGTGAGTCTTCTTGATTTGAATAGTTAAAAATCACATTGAAAGTGTAGTTTGTAATAATAAAAAAGGTGGACTCCAGGCACATTTTAGATGGAATAATTTACTTGAGTACAAGTAAAAGTACTGAAAAATAATATGACTCAAGTAAGGGTAAAAAAGTAGTTTGCTGAAAAAATACTGAAGTTACTGCGTTACAAAGTACTTTAGTATTATTTTTCTATTTTTACCCAAAATTAGACGATGTGAGCACTATGGAGCAGGGTTAATGCTAACCCTAACACTCATGTACTTTAATGTCTTTTTAATATGACTTTAAACCATTCAAGCACAAGAAGACTCGTGCTCTGTTTTCTGTACTGCACACATAGGGGCATATCCATAATTTCAGAAATGAGGGGGACAGAAACATAAAAAAAAAAAAAAAAAACTTTTGACTTTTTGTCTAAATTGACAGGCTTTATTTTTTATTATGTATTTTAATTGGATAAGAAATCAAATACACTGCTGGATGATAACCAATAATTTGTATTCTATAATATTTTTTCTGTAATGACAATTTTAAAATTGGTTTATACAAACACATAAGGAAGAATAGTTCCCTTTCGATACTTCACTTGTACTGCGTCTTGCTTAAGACGCATATGGAAAAAAGGGCTTTAAAAACAAACCAATGGCGCGGCAGCGGAGCTGCACGAGCCTATGGTAACGAAGCCCGCCAAAGCCCGCCAGAATGGGCGGGGCATCTGGCTATATAAGCGGGCGCTCGCCACAGGATTCTCAGATTTTTTCTCCTTCAGCGACGACTCTACGTCTCAAGCTGATCCGAAGCCGCTCGCTGTTGACACGCCTTCGCAGCTGGAATCGGGACCTCTCAGCTCGGCTGACCTGCTTCCTCGCTTCTTCAGCGACGCAGCAGTTCCGGTCCGGTTCCCCTGCCGCCATCCGGCGACTTCAAAGAGCTTCTAAAAGAGCAGCGGCGTTGTTGCAAATGCCGCGCCGTTATTGCGGCTCGTGCGGGTCTCCCCTGCATGCTGATGACGGCCACAAGGAGTGCGTTTCCTGCTTGGGGAAACCCCATGCGGAAGCTGCGCTCACGGGAGCTATTTGCTCTCATTGCGAGAGTTTTAGTCTCGCCTCTCTCCGCTCACTTTTCCTCACAGGTCCCTGGGAGGAACAAAACGGGAGGGCGCGAGGGGCGGAGTCGCTCTCTGAAAAGAA